AACTGAATTTTTAAGCTTCTCGTAAATGCACAAAAAAAGATATATTTATTGACTTGAATTGCATCAGTTGCCTTACGTTTCAGTTAAAGAAGGCGTATAAGTTAAGCCGCAAATAAATTTTTATCAATTTTGAGACAAGCCTAAATCGTTTTTATTTCTCAATACAATTGTATAGGAGTACTGTTTTAGGGTTAAGTTGAAGGAAGTTGGAGGAGTAATAAGAATGTTATATGTGTGCTTAATTATTAAATTTATTACTTTTAAATTCTTATTCAATTATTATATTTTGAATTTATAGTAATGAAGACAACATTTTAGCAATAATTTAAAACAAAAATATAAGTTCCTTAGAACAATTGTGATTACAATAATCCTGATAAATTATCTCAAAATTACTTTTCATATTTATTTTCTTCTTCCTCAGTGCACAAAAAGAAATTACTACTTCATTAGCTGTGGATTGTTTCAGGCACTACAAGTAGCGTTGCTGTAACTTTACTGGGAAGTTTATCAGCAGTTATATTACCAAATATGACAGCTGATCTGGGACACATAAGTAGCATAACTGCTCTATTTAACCAAGGATATTTAGTTTATTAAGACATATTTTAATACTAGTCTTGATAACTAGTCTTGCGTTGATTGTTGGTTGGCTATCAGTTAAGATATCTATTCTCAGATTCTGATATAATAATTCAAGACATATACATATACAGCATTGTTTCACATTAAATTTAACTGAGAAATTATCTCAAGTTAATATATTAAAAGTTTTCAGTTAGGTTATCTTATAGCAGATTTAAAGTAGAATTAAATAGAATAAGTAGAATAAAGCGGTTTATTATAATAAACGAATTATCTAATTTTAATTTATTGTCATTATTCGTGTTAAATTTATGGTTCATATAAATTAACTCAGTCTAAACACAAGCCAATTATAACTGTTTATTTATATCGTTAAATAATTTAATATAAAATTGAAACAGAAACCTATTTTTTTATTGTAATATATCTAGTTATGAGATTCGATAGCAATAACTATAGCAATACATTTAACATAATTTAAACCATAATAAAACCTATTTAATGAATTATGATAAAAGTTTCAGTTGATTTCCTATCACCGGTATTATGTATCCACCAAATTAAAAATATTTAATAACTTCTAGTGGATTTTCAAATAAATAAAATACAAAAGAATATAGTTATGGGAATTTATTAATTTTTATAAGCTAAATTTTATTTGATGAAATATTTATAATTTAAGTATTTCCCCAAAAATTCCAATTAACACTTTAAACACTGATTAAGGTATTTAATCGAAGTAATAATATGCTTAGGAATTTCACAATTATTGTTAATTAATTTTTTTATTTATATTTTAATTAATCGGAGTTCAATCTTTTTATGAATTCCGATTTTGAAATTTGTTTTGATTAGCAAATATATAAAAACTTAATTAAAGAAATGAAATAAGATAGTTTTCTTTATTTTAAATACATTAAATTAAAAGTTTTATAAGATAAAAGTTTTATTCTATAAAATATTTATATATATATTCAAAAAAGTCATAAAACCACCAATTATTATATACAAAAATAGGCACTTAATACTATTATGTTTATTTAATATAATGAAAGATCTGCTAGGCGAATACCTTCACCAGAAAACGTACCCTTGTAAATTTGCTAGTACCCAATTTTCTTTTTTTTATAAAGTATGTTATCATTAACGGACAGAATGTTTTCACTGTATCTATCAGTATTAACTTTATTTTTCTAATGTATTCATTACAAAATTTCAAAATTTTTCTTGTTAAAACAAAATTATAAATTCTATTATTTTATCTCATAATGAATCAAGGCACGCCATTCCCCGATTCACTCATATTATCAAACTATGATTCATTCGTGTCCAACTATTAAATTGACACAAAAAAATTAACCTTGCAATATTTCTCATATATAAAATACCGTAAAAGTAATTAACTTTTCCAGAAATTTTATTTACTTTTAAGATACTAAGATACTCGTACATTGCAGATACATAGCTAATGTGTTATTGCAGTTTTTATCATTGCAAAAATAAATTATTTTGTTTGATATGTCGCTAAAAATTCTCAAATACAAATCGGTTGATATATTTTTTATGCATTTACTTTTTGAAAACAAGGAAAATGGACGTAGGCGTATACGCAATTAATCTGTTTATACTAATACAGGGTATGTGGCAGATGAATATTATATTGATCGTATATATAAAGATATGTTAGTACATTAATTTAAGTCTTTCTATAAGTCGTTGTAAATACATATTTCTATTAGTGGAATAACTATGGCTTTAACTACGATAATATGAATACTATCTATGATTTTCTCAATGATATTATTTATTTAGACTTAGCGCTAATTAGCACTTTAAACGAAAGCTCAGGATTTTTACTTGAAGTAAAAATTGATGGATAATATATTTTTGAATTCATTTACTAAACCACCTCTTAGGAATGAATGGAGAAGATTTCCACAGCATTGTGAAAACTTCATTCCAGTAATCAGGGGAGAGAGGAGGAAAAATAGACTTAGTATCTAGCGAGTTAGATTTATCTAAGCCAGAAAGCAAGGGTGTACATTAGGGAAATTGGGTTGTAATGCCTCTACATATCACAGGTTTTTAATTTATATAACTATCACTTACTATATTACCACTCGTTTTGAGCATTGATTCTTCTTTTCTTTTAAAAAAAATTATTTCAATAACAAAGCACTTTGTTAGTTCATAACAAGGATTTTATAGATTGAATACTACTCTACCCTTTTGTAAGTGAGCAATGTATATTAGGATATCTGCAATGTATAAGTTGTATGGAAATGCAAATTGTGCAAAACCTTATGGAACTTTATCCTCTGTATCTTTTTTCAACAAAAGTCCATTTTTATTCTGACTAGAAATTTACTGTTTCACATAAAGTTTTTAAAGTGTCCTAATAGCTGCATTCATTTCTGCGACATATTCTGCTCCCTTATTCTTATTAGAAGGCCTGAGTACTATATCGAAAGATTTTTGGATGTCGAATGACATAGGACCTGTGAAATGTGCTTGTATTAATGCACAGTCTTTAAGAGGTTTTATTTTATTTTTATAATGGTTTTTACATATATTTTAATCCGACTATAGGTCAGTTTGTATCAAATAATTCAACGTTTGTTTAATATTTTTTTATTATATTCTATATTTCGACTATCCTTGAGTGTCATTATCAGGATCACGATCTAACATAAATTAATATTATTAAAACTATATATACGTCATACTCTTTATTCTATTATTTATATTCCAATATAGACAATAGAAAAAAGAGACGTTTCAGGTAATCTCGATAAAAAAAACATAAAGTAATAAAATTTAATTAAAATAATGTTTCTTAAGCCAGGTTTTGTAATACAGTACAGATATGTAATTTATCGTAGACATTTACACATTTTATAAACTGAAACAGTTCTATATTATAAATGTGAATTGAAGACATTTGTGTTGATTTCATGTTACCTTAGACATTTATTATATAGAATTTTGTATATATATATAAAACAAAGTATGTTAAAAAAATATAAAAAAACCGGAATCGGCATAATATCATATTATTTAAATATTACATTTGTAATAATTATTCCAAGAGAACTAAAAAGTTCTCTTACTTATGCATACTAATTTTTCACTCTATTAAAGGTAATCATATAATTTTATTCATTCAATTGTTTAATTAAAAGATCTGTAATAACTAAAATGAAATTAGAAACAGAAAATAAGCCTTCTTGTAAATTTTATTCTATAAAAATTGATAACTCTCCATTAAATATTTTATCATAACTAAAGCTTTTAATAGTTTTGCACTTCCCATACATAATCAATTATATAGAAATTATTTGTAGTGATTTGGTGACTAAAACTCAAATAAAAGGCGCCACAATAATAAATATAAAATGCTTAAGTATATTTTCCCTTTGTTTTTTGATAAGAGGGGATTTTTTTCAGGGTAAACTTTTGTTTTAATTATAGATTAAATGGCTGAAAACGCAAAAGTAGATAAGCGCAAAGCTAAATTTAACATTGTATTTTATAATCGAATTGTATGAAAATGATATGTAATGAGAAACTGATTGCAAAATGAATCACCCGTGCAGTACATCATTATATATATAAGATATTTACATATGAAAATTATACAAATAAACAATTACATACAAAATAACAATATAATTATGGAATATATAATATTTTGAGCTGACACTTATTAAAATGCAAAGAAAATCGTAACGCTGTGGCGTATGAGTGATTTTATGCAAATGACGAAGAACAGAAAATATGTTGCTTACCTTGGAAAATCTTTTTTAGCAGTGTTGGAAATGTTTTGTTCA